GCCAGGTGTGAGAGAGACCAGGAGGGGAGAGCTACAGCCAGGTGTGAGAGAGACCAGGAGGAGGAGAGCTACAGCCAGACGTGAGGGAGATCAGGAGGGGAGAGCTACAGCCAGGCGTGAGGGAGACCAGGACGGAGGCTGTATTTGTATATCAAGGTCAGAATCAGAAACAAGGTGAATGGTTTTACCAATGCAAGGGGAAGAGGCTGTGTGATCAGATTGGAGTAGTCAACGACGCTAAAATCTCGATGGATCAAGGAGGACAGATGGGTCCATTGACTCAGTGCTGTCCGAGTGACTGGTGAATGTTTCAGCTTTGGCTGTTTCTTTCTCCAGGTCCTGGGAAGATGGCCCTTGCCTTCAATAGACTGGATATTTCGAGGAGAGGGATGGAGGTGTGGCTCAGGGGTAGAGCACATATTCAGCACGCCCAGGGCAGGGGTCTAGCTCAGAACGCATGCACAGACACACGCGCACACACACACACACACACACACACACACACACGTGCTACGTGAGATAATCATTTTCAATGCAGTGAAACGGTGAGGATTGAAAAACCACCATGATGACTTCCCATGGGAAACTTTACCCTCTCTGAGGAGTGGATGGGGTTGGCGTGAGGGAAAGGTGCAAGGAGTAGGAGGAGGGAAGGGAGGGGGAACTGGGATTGATATGTAAAATGAATTAATACAATTATGGAGAAGAAAAAGAAAAACCACCATGAACCTAGCTGAGGATGGAGAGAAGCTTTCAGGAAGTAAACAGAAAACCATAACTGGCCAGGCGGTGGTGGGCACTCCTTTAATCCCAGCACTTGGGAGACAGAGGCAGGTGGATCTCTGTGAGTTTGAGGCCAGCCTGGTATACAAGAGCTAGTTCCGGGATAGGCTCCAAAGCTACAAAGAAACCTTGTCTCAAAATACCAGAAGAAGAAGATGAAGAGGAGGAGGAGGAGGAGGAGGAGGAGGAGGAGGAGGAGGAGGAGGAGGAAGAAGAAGAAGAAGAAGAAGAAGAAGAAGAAGAAGAAAGAAAGAAAGAAAGAAAGAAAGAAAGAAAGAAAGAAAGAAAGAAAACCATAGATGAAAGGAAAGAAAGAGAAGATGTGGCTAAAGTTTGTAAAAAAGAAAGAACACGGAGTCCAGGAAAGGAGAGACTAGAATATGAGTCTTTGTTCAGACACTCACAGGTGGCAAGAGCAGGAAGCAGCCTTGGAGTCCTCCAGCCCACCTGAGAACTCCGCCTCCTGTTCTGTTAGTTGAAGGACAGTCATGGGCAGAGACTTCAGTAATGTGCATCCTGGAGCCAAAAGAGCAGAGCAGGAAAGGCAAGTTTTAGAAAGAGGGACCTTTCCAGTTTTGAAAGAGGGGATGGGGGACTGAGGCACTGAATCTGTGCTGTGTCTCCAGGGACCCCGCATCCACACAGCTTCCTCCCAACTCCCAGCAGATAGCATGAGAGTCAGCAGCCCTGGGGTCGAGTCTGACCTCCCTGGACAAGAGGACAGATGAGACGGGAGTGTTCTGAGGGAGTGGACACAGGGCAGATGAGACGGAAGTGTTCTGAGTGAGTGGGAAAGTTCCAAGTCCTAGGGGTCAGCATGAAATATAAAAGTAGGGATGGGAGTGATGATCCAAGGTAGGACCTTGTTTGTGGCCTGTATGGAAGTAAATGACCACTAAACAAAGATGTTAAATAGATCATTGAAAGGGTCAACTGCTCTGTCATCTGTCCTACCCATGCTGGATTGCTTTCAGGACCCTGCCATACCAAAACCTGCAGATATTCAAATTGCTTATGGTATAGTAATCACATGTAACCTCCACTTGTTCTCCCATATACTTTAATAATTTATAGATACTTATGAAACCTAATACAGTGTGAAAATTATATAAATAATTGTTATGATGTGCATTTAAGAAAATCATAAACAGAGCCAGGCGGTGGTGGCACATGCCTTTAATTCCAGCACTCAGGAGGCAGAGGCAGGTGGATCTCTGTGAGTTTGAGGTCAGTCTGGTCTACAAGAGCTAGTTCCGGGACAGGCTCCAGAGCTCAATAAAAAAAAAAGAAAGGAAGGAAGGAAAGAAGGAAGGAAGGAAGGAAGGAAGGAAGGAAGGAAGGAAGGAAGGAA